TGTACATGCAGTGCTGCCATCTTCTGTTTCAGTCCGTTATTACACTCTTAAATCCTACTACTTATTCCTGCGTCTTTTGTGATCTTACAAAGCTTCAAACGATGCGTCGACTATTAAATCAGTCGTCGACAATTTTGATAGTCGACGTAATCGTGACTAGTCGACTAATCATGGCAGCCCTAATGTCAAAGCGACTGTTTTCTTCTTTGCATTGTAAAAAACGGCACCAGTTCATACATGAATGCTTACTCAGTTTCTCCTGAAATTCTAAGTAATAGGTCACAAGAGTCTGAGATGATGTCATGTAAACTAAAATGTTTACATTTACAAAGGTGGATGAAGTTGTCAGATTCTTTACTGAGTATAATCGTCTATAAGTTCCCCGTGAACAGCAAGTTGTAGATAAAGGGACTCAAAGAATCCTGAATTCAGATCTTTGGAAGAATCGTGCAACAAAACAAGATGGTTTTAGAAGCGTAACTTCCAGTGGAAAGAGGCTTTTCAACGCTTTATCCTTATTAGGAGTAACCCTGAATCTCTCCTCTGTGCTGAGTGGCTTCTGTCATGTTTCGGACCTGCTTATACGACATGGTGTTTATCAGAGGTTAGAGCGGACGGTCTCTGCCATGCAGCAGGAAAAACCCTGAAACTGTTCTTTGTTGACATGTACAAGCTGTCAAAACTAGTCGTTACAGGTACAGGAGAGGTGAGCTTGTTTTGGGGAAAAGTTGTCAAACTTTTTAAGCTATTTTTTAGCACTTTTCATGGGATTTTTATTTCCCAGTGACCACTTTAGTTAGAATAAATGCCCGAGGTGTTTCAGGGTGACGACCAAGTGGCGGAACTTGATTTTGACCAGTTTAGAGCGATCGCCAAATCTACCGTCAGCTAGTGCCGGGGTTGTACTGGAGACAGCACGACAAAGTGAACAGGAGGACGAAAGTGGACCACGTGTCATGTTTTATTCTGTGACTTTATAAGTCGGCTTCATAAGTGTGACTGAAAGGAAATAACAGGAGGAAACTGGAACCTTCCCGACTGAGTCCATGTCAGCACAGTCAGCCTTTAGCTAGCTTAGCTCTAATTCTGTGGATGTTTTTCTAGCTCATTTTAAGCTCATGTCCACACTGCAGAGGATAAACTGGTAAACAAATATTTTTCTCCCTGTTTTGACCCTCAAACGTGATTAAAACTGTTGCTAGCCTCCAAAAAACGACAGAAGCTGTGCTTTAAGCTGCTGCTGTGTTGGAAGTGTGCATTAATGTGCACTAGGCATGGTTCAAATGCTCAGAAAATGTTATCAGAGCAATGAAGTTAGAGAAAAAGTAGAATTTGTTGGAGTAAAGACAAAGAGGTTTGAATGCTGCGTCTTCAGATTTAACTGTTGATTGCTAACACGTAGTGTTTACATCTTAATAACCATTAAAGTAGAGGTTAAGTACATTTAGTCAAAGTTATTTTCAATAATAATCTTAACTTTGAATAATGATTCAAAGCAGCTGCTCAAATATAAAACGAAGAACAGAGTAAATGAAAAATCCTCCTGATGTGGAGGACGAAGAGTCGAAATCAACGCACGATGTCATCTGTGCTAATCGTCTGGGCTCGTTTTTATTCCGTCTTTAATGATTTATTATTTTGTCTTTCTTTGTTGCAAACTCTGCTTTCATTACTCTTCCTGTGTCGGCCAATCAGCACTTCACCTGCATGCATCATCATCATCAGGTATCAGGCTGGATAAAGGTGCATCCTTGTATCTTCGCTGTTTTTGTCCACAGCTGAAAAGCCACGCACACTAACATCCTCTAACTCGCACGAGCCTGTTAGTGTTTAGTGCAGAACTCAAATGAAGTGAAAGAAAAGAAAGAAAAAACAAACACAAAACAAGCTAAATGTTGAATGTTAGAAGCCGCTGTGTGTGAGAGCCCACTCTGATGATGCAGAGATGCAGAGATGGGGCGGGCATGGAGGAAGTGTACCTTGAAAACGCTGGCCACAAAGCTGCAGCTAGCAACCAACTGAATCACTGTGGCTGAAATGTTTTTGCAGCCCACTCTTGCACGTCATCTTCTCTGTAAATCTATTACAGTTACTTAAATATGTCTTTCAATCAAGAGGAAAGAACAGCAACACAAACTGTGATCTGAATCTGAGACCCAAAGCTGTAAATCTACCCGGTGCAGCTGTTACCTTTGTAGTAAACAACAACACAGCCTCAGGCCA